GGCGGCGGGACCGGCCCAGGTGAGCAGGCGGCACGGGTCGCTGAGGAGGAAGCCCCGGGGCGCACCCACCGCAGGGGGCGTCGGAGCTGTTCCCGGGGCGGCTCCGCCCGGAGACACTGGGAGGGGCTGCCCCCGGCTTCCACCCCCTGCCCCCGTCCCGGGCTGCTCACCCCGCGGGCTCATGGGCGGCCCCTGCTGGTCTTGCTGTTGCTTTAGGCCGGAGCAGGGATGCAAAACGCTGCGGCCAAGCTAAGGGGGTGGGGGACCCGCTCAACCCCCTCTCAACTCCCCTTAAACCCCAGCCTACTGAGCCTCAGCTCAGAGGTGAAAAGCACGGAGGGTTCCTTGACTCTTGTCTTGTATAAGTGTTTCTTGCCCCTTTGTTTTAAAGTGATTGACAAAGTGTCTGTTTCATAAGCCGATTGCTTTCAAGTTGCGCGAGTCGATCGGCTCGATGTCGCGTTCTGAAGAGGCTGCAGTTGGGAGCAGAGATCACGTGGGCAGTTAGGCTTTTATGTTCGTAGTAGTTGCCATAACTTTTTAGTAACGGTACTTCTTAAAAAACCCTAAAGTAAAGGGTTTGGCAGACACCACCCAACTTACATAAATGAAACTAAAGGCTGAGAAACAGCTTGGCCTAGTGGATGCAGCATGTGGGCACGGGTCAAGAAGTCTGTTTCTAATCAAAACTCACTTAATACATTTGCTGCAGGGTCTTGGGAGGTTGCTTAGGTTTCTGGGACTCTAAAACAAGACAGATGCTTATATCTCAAGGCATGCAGAGGGTTAGCAAAATTTTAGAAAGAGTCTGGATTAGGGAAAGAACTATATAAATGCTTGGTATTTATATTGTATGTCCAAAACAGATGAATGTATAAGTTGTTGCAGGTTAAATGAGAGAAAATTTGATGATTATTTAGTTTCCCATTTGTTGAGTACAGTGGGTTTCATTTTGCACACTTCTCCTGAAAATCTAGATCCTGGTTTCCTGGTTAATAGTCATAAGTGGAGTGATGTTATGAACTATATAAAACCATTTCAGTAGTCGGTAGATTTACCGTGAGCCTAAAAAATACTTATATCAACTTGCTTATGCCTCAGGTTTGTGTTCAGCTTTAGGGGAAAAGTTATAAAAACACATTGTAGATATAAGTCTAAGTTGCATTCAAAATATTTATTGAGTTGAATCAAGTAGTACAGATACAGAAACTTCCTTTTTATTGGAGTACAGAATAAAGCAATATATTTGTTTTCATTATCTTTAAAAATATTATTTAAAACATGCTCACTTTTTTACAGGTGGGAAGAATGAAAGAAAAGAGGGATGAAAGAATGTTGAACCATTTTGTATGGCTGTATAATGGAAGGAAACAGTTCGGAGAACCTCTGCAATAGATCTTTTGGGTGGCTTCAGCGACAAGATAATGATGTTAAACCATGGCTGTGGAAATTCTCTAATTGCTTTTCTGCTACTGGAAAGACTTCACCTTGCAATACAGACACGGTAATTTTTCACTGTACTAAGAACATAACTAATGTATTAGAATAAACTAATGTTTCACATTATGCAGTATTAGGTGGGCTATGGGCTGGGTTGTGGAGCAACTGAGTAGTGTCAGCTGTGTCACTGACCAGTTGAATAGTTCTTAGCAAATAACTTTTCTTTCTCAGTTTTGCTCCATCTATAATGAATAGAGAATACAATGTATGAATACTCCGTTTGATCAGCTTCTTTAAAGTGGTTTAGGATCTGTGGACAAAAGGCACTTATGAACTAGATGATAGTATTTTACTGGAGAGAGGAGAGGCATTTTTCCCATCTTCATAGCTGATTTGCTTAAGCCCTGAATCATAACATATAGTCCTATTTCTTATAAGACAAATTTTTAGAACAAACTTTTACAGTTATTTACAAATGTCTAATTCTTGCCTATCTCTTGTCCCATGACTCTACACACTTGCATTTTAAAACTTTAATGTAAAGGATTGAAAATCTAATGAAATCTAGAACTTGCACCTGCAAAAAAACGCATGTACCCAACAAATTTGCTTCCATTGTCCAGCCACCCCATGGACATCCAATGTTTTGTTTGGGGTTTTTTTGTTCTTCCTCCGTTGAAAAATCACTGCTTTGCCATCATAGTTTACCTGCATTCTGTCTCTTTGTTTTTGTTCTTTTTCTGTTCTTAGCTTTTAAGATGCTCATTTTTCACTTTGTGGATACTTGGTATCTTTTAACAGCCTATTTTTGATAGCCTTGATTCAAGTCTAAGTAAATGTGTGTATTCTAAGTAAATTATATATTATAACTATCTCTTTATTACTTCTGCGTTGCAATTTGCTTCCATTACAGAAGTTGTATGTCTTGGTGATATTATATGTCCATTTGCTTTGCTTTTCAAGTGCAGAAAAAAAAATTCAGTTTTAATTTCTTAACTTTTTTTCTTCTGCCTCCTTCGGTTTCTGCATTTGGTGATCCATCTTTGTAGTCAGTTACTGTTCTGGTTAATAGTCTTTTGTATTTATTATCCCAGAAATTTGTCCCTTTAAATTTATGCATGCAACTCATACAGAAGATGTCTAGAGCTTAGCATATGCATCTGATGTTATGATGGTGTTTATAATCATTTATGATTTCCTGGCTTCTGTCATAGTTAAAATAATAACCAGTAAATATTAGCTGTTTGTTACTGTAAATTAGTGGGTTATACCTTTTTACATTTTGGGGTAAATCTCATGTATGTCTTTTGGTTTTTCTCCCCCTCCCTCCTCCACCAGAAAGATTACATGGAGAACAACAAAACTGCTGTGGAATTGAAGGATGCTCCATCTCCTCACCATGCTAGCTCTAAACTCTTTCCAGCAGTACCACTTCCTGATGTTCATCCTATTCATCAACAGCAAATACAACTTTCACCTGCCCCCAAAGTAAGCTGTTGCACTCACGGCTCTGACTCTTCCTGCACGTCTCAGTTGCATTTTGGTAGTGGTGGTGGTAGCTTGATTCACCCTGGCACAATATTAGACTCTCAAAGCACTGGGACAATTACTTGTCAGATAGGGTCAGGGTTTGCTTATCAGTCTGCATCTTCGCTCAAGAACGCTCCAGCTAGAAGCAGTTTGACAGGCATTACAAATGACTTCCCTGGCATGTGCATAGAAAATAATGTATCTTCCTGTCAACATCTGCCTTGTTGTGGAAAACTCCATTTTCAATCCTGTCATGGTAACATGCACAAACTGCATCAATTTCCAGCCCTTCAGAGCTGTCCATCTTCTGGCTATTTTCCCTGTTCTGAATTCACAAGTGGGGCTGCAGGGCACTTGGAGGAGCACATTACACAATCGGAGCTAACATCACGTGTGTGCGCCAACTCTTTGCACCTAAATATGGCACCTTCGGTTTATTTAAAGGGCTCTCACTACTGCAATGACTGCTTAAGCAAGGTTTGTATACGTTGCATTTCCTCTTATAAAGACCTGTTTGTTAGAGGTTTTACAATAAACCTTAAGTGGGAGGGGCTTGAATTCTTAGGGGCTTGAATCTTGTAGTTTAGGGATCAGCAATCTATGCCCCACACAGAGCAATTGGGTGTGGCTTACAGGGTTGGGGTTGGTGGGGGTCAGCAGTGAGGAATTTCACCTGTGCTATGCTGCAGCCAGGCAGTGGAGAGAAGTGATAATGGCAGCTGGATCCTAACCCATCTTGGAACCAAGCTGGTCTTTTTGGCCTGCTGCCAGAAAGCATAAACAAGAATAGCAGTTGGCAGTGTTAAATAGAATAAGGGCCATGGTATAGAAAGACTGGTCTTTCCATGGTGAGCACTTTTATGGAAGTAACATTCACTTCCGTGGGAAGGTAGAACAGGCTATTGTACTGTTTGATTGTATGTACCCTAATTCTATTATTAATTGAACAGAATGTTAAATAGTCCCGGAAAGAGAGCTTACTTTTATTCTGACAGATCCAGATAAAATGTAACATTAGTAGTGACTTGATGGATTGAATAACATTTAGTCTGTAATCAGCACAGGGATCTGATCAAGGTGGATCTCATGAATAAAGTCAAGTGCCTGAGATCAGCCTTTCCTAACCTGTAATTTACCTTTTTTGATTCAATATCAATTCAGTATATATTGAATTTTTAACTGAATTCAGATTTAAATTTAATTTAAATTTTACTAATACTTCAGAAGTGATATTTGTTGCAAATCTTGTACTGCCAGGCATTACTTGAGGCTCAGAAATTGAGAGGAGTTTAAAAAAATTAATATCAAAATGAATATATAAATTCACTTGGCCAAACAAGGCCAAGAATTTAAAAAACTCATCAGTGACTTATGGGTGCCTTGATATTGGGGATCTTGAGATTCATTAAAACAACAGTCTTCCTCTCCTCCCCCACCCCCTTGAAAATTGAGGCGACTTGCAGACATAAAGAAACCCAAACAAACAGCACTTAACTTTAAACTTGGCGTGCTCCTGCACCGAGCCCAGCACAGCCCAGGAGAGGCAATGTATTGGTTGGACCCAGCTCGCCCAACATCTGTATGAATCAGGCACTTTAGCGGGGCTTTTTTGTCACTTTTACCTAGTAGCTGATTGAATCGGCTGTAGCTAAAAGTGTCCAAAAGCCTGGCTGGAGTGCCCAATCTGTACAGATTCTGTGGAGCTGGGTTGAAGTAAGGTGTTGCTGCTTCCGGTAAAGTGTCATTTTGTGGTTTTTTTAAACATCTGTGAGCAACCCAAATGTCTTAAGGATAGTGTCTGAATCAAGCACTTAAACTCCAACAGTGACTGAGGATTCTAAGGTGTGCAAAGAAAGGAAGGTTGTATGAGGGAAAGATGCTTTATTCAGTGTTATTGATGTACCTGCTCATCTGAAAATTAACCTCAGTTGACTAGAAAGTGTTTGTCATTGGAGGGGTAAGAATCAGCGTTTAGAATTTGGAATGGTATGCGCAGTTATGTACACTAAACTAACTTGTGTTTTGGAAAAATGTCTCGACAGCCAACCAGAAATAGTTTAATTGATCCTGCTAAAGTATGGCCAAATATTCCTCCTCCAAGTACTAAGACTGCACCCATCTCTATCCCAATATGTAATGGCTGCGGAACCAAAGGAACGGCAAAAGAGACGCGTTTATTACTGGCGAGCAGCCTGGGCAAATCTCCACAGGAATATGGTAAACTCCACTTGTTTGAAAGGTTTATTTAAAGGATGCACTTCTTAAAAAGCTATTGAATATTAAAAATTTGCACCTCTTTCTGAGAATGTTTAAGTATCACGCAAACATACTAAACTATTTGTTTCTGTTTGATAGCTCAGCCCAGTCAATAATGACGTTAGCATAATGCTGTATTTACTCAAATATAAGACAAGGTTTTTTTTCTCCTCATTTGGCTTTGGAGGGGAAAAAGCCACTTGTCTTATTGCATGTAAGGAAATCTCACTAAACACCATTATATGTTAATAAACTGCTGCCAAAAGCAGCATGTGTTCAGTAATGGAAACCAACTATGAAGCTGATCAAATGCAGCCAACACTAAACACGATTAAAATCCATGTCGAACATTGGGCAAACATGCTGATGGGAACCTACCACAAGAATACATTAGTGCAAACCATCTGAGTAAGACATGCTAGTGCCCATTAAGTGCAATTCCCCTCACCACCGACTCTTTCAAACCATGGCGAGCTACAACATTGCATACAGTTCATCCAATAGCCCTTAGGCGTGCCCCCTTTCAGCCTGGTGCATATGATCAACGTGGGCCAGCCCTCTATCGGTGCGTCCAGATGAGCACAGTTGTGCAGTATGTGGTGCCGCAAACACATTTGCAACACCACATACTTCATAGTCTGGTGTTCTCTGTGCTGCGAGGGTGCGCTGCTTATGCATAGGGGTCAGAAAATGTGCTGAAAAAAAGAACTGGAGCATGCATACTTGGGCATCATGCACTACTGAAAAGTGGAGCTAGGCCACCTGGAGCTGTGCTGTGGCTGCTGGCGAGGCTCTGCCTGCCAGGATTGCCACAGCTGCAGCCCCAGGAGGCTCCCAGGACCCAGATAAGGCTCCTGGGGCCAACACAGTACTGGCTTCAGCCTCCCCTACTGCTCCCTGGTGTAACATGGCACGCATCAAAGCGTGTGTGGCACTGGCATTCCTTGGGGACAGGTAGCTGCATCTCAAGGTGTGCTGCTGCTGCTAGTTGTCCCTGGGGAATCAAACTCCCGCACACATCTGGATGCGCCCCACAAGATGAAGCCAGACCAGGTTGCTCTGCACCTTATTTGCATGTAAATTTTTGGAGCATCCCAGGACTTGTGAAAACAACACATGGTTCCAGGCATGAGTGGGGGCTAATTAGCATACATATCCTTTGAGGGGGGTATCTGGAGTATATGTGCATACTGAGCAGTGCTGAGTTGTGGGGTAGCTCTGGCTTGAAATGCTGTTGACTGGTGGGGCCTAGCCAGGGGAATGAATTAATGCGGTAAATTGTGAGCCTTTTGGCTTTGGACTAATATCATGCATAATCTATACTAGATACAAGTAGCTGCCAAACTGCTTTTCAAAAATGTGTTTATGAAATGCCTGTGCTTAAACTTGCAGCTGTTTCAAAAAAACCCAAAACTATGCATTAATTCTGGATGAGTTAAGTCTATGGGTACTATATGCAAATTCTGGGTTGCCATGTTTAATTTCAAGCTTTTTATTTTCACATTTGCTCCTCACTTCCACGTGCTCAGGGGGAGCAGGGTCTGATAGTAAGGAGAGGAGGAAGACGCTGCCGAGGGAGACAGCAAAGGCCTACCTGGTTTCTCTCCCCCTCCCCTCCCCAAATTGACTTTCCCTGCTGGATAAATTCAGGGCAAACGTCCAATAATTAGAGTCTATACCTGAATAATTGTAACCAATTTTATACATCTTCCATACATAGAATCTAATTAGTGGGGGGTCATCTTATATTCAAGGTCATCTTCTATTTGAGTAAATACAGCATTTTTTGTATACTTACCTTTTGAACATTGGTTCCAAGTTTGGTGATGGGGTACTTTTCTCTTATCTAGAAGGATTAACTTTCATTCATGTGGTACCTGCTATTTTCTGGCCATTGCAAGTTATAGAACACATGTAAGCATGATTCAGCTTTTGTCTGTTCTGAAAAATCAGAGCTAGAATTATTCCTCAGCTCATGATAACTCCTTGTACCAGAGTCATGTCCCAGTTCAAATTTGTTGTTTAGTTATTTAACAACGCACTTCACACTGGGCATTTATGTTACTACTTTTTGTTATTAATACAGTAATAATTGTGAACTTTCCTGTAAGGTTTTAGACAACAATTAGCAATTTGAGTGATGTCAGAAATGCCCTTCCTCAACAAATTTGCTTGGTTCTTTAACATTGTTTTGATTTTGACAGTCTCGTATTTTCTATGGCAGGACGTCAAAGATATAGTTTGTGAGCTGCATCCAGCCTGCAGACCAATTTCACCTGGCCTGTGTGGCTTCCAGAGGCCTAGGATTTGTGGGGAAAGGCAAGCAGGCCAGACTCCTAATTCTGGTGGCCTGTTGGAGGATACAAATTGGAGGGAGGGAGAGAGCAATCTTTGTTCAATGGCAATCAATTTCTTCTCCAAACTTGACTAAGAGAAAACATTGGTAAATTCATGGTTCAAGTGTTGATTTAAAATAAAGAAGAATCATTTTGCATTAAAAAGGTGACCCTTTTTAGAGACAACTAGTTGTTACTTCTAATTGCATTGCTTAGTTGCATTTCTTGAGAATTGTTGTTCTAGGCTTGTAGTTCAATACCTAACTTTGATATCTTTTATATCCTAATGCTTGTAACTGCAAAGGTTCATTTTCTAAGCATCATTCAGACTAAAATTAAAGGTATTTCATCAAATCTGTACAGGATCTCCAGAAGTTGCAGTAACTGGCCAGTTACTAGAAAACTTGCCCCCCATTGGAGTCTTCTGGGATATTGAAAACTGCTCAGTTCCGACTGGCCGTTCAGCTATTGCAGTTGTACAACGAATTCGTGAGAAGTTTTTTAAAGGTCACAGGGAAGCAGAATTCATCTGTGTGTGTGACATCAGTAAAGAAAATAAAGAAGTTATCCAAGAGCTAAACAACTGCCAGGTATGGGAGAGTGAATGAGAGAGCGATTTATGGTGTGCTTAATTAAGGGAAGCTGCATGCTTTCAGACATCCTAAATGTATGTAAACAATCTGTGTTAGGGTTTGCAAATTGTCAGGATAGATTAGGTCAGGTGATGTTGGGGAGCACCAGATGTTTGTCCTTGCTTTATTTAAAGTGGAGGGATGAGTTCTAGCGAAACTGGATTACCATTTTTTTTATGATGGCACTGCTGCTTATTTGTTCTAGGATTTAATGTGAACTATTTCTAGGTCTTAATCTGTTCACAAATGGAGAAGAGTGGGAATATAAATAATATATAGTTGATTGTATGGATTATAAATTGCTGTGTTCAAACCTTTGTTTTTTCTTCATAGATATATATTTTTAATTCAGTATTTGAGCATGCTTATGTCCAAGCAAGCATATGTCTGAATTATATTTTAGGTTTATTAGGTATCTGAAATTCTGAAAATGATTACTCTTCTGAAAACAGTGGTATTATTGTTGGGACAACACTGAATAGACCATTGTTTCAAAATAGTGAAAGGGGGAATACATCTTTTAAGTAAGGTATTGGTGAAGTTGAAATAGCTCACTCTAAAGCCCAGTCATGTAAAACAGAATTAGGGTTATGATTATTGGTGGGCTTGAAAGTGCAATTCAGAAGTTACCTAGATAAATAGATGGACAAATGGGGCTAACTTACTGAGTCTAACCCCTTAGTAGATATCTAATTGCCAAAAAGAACAAATGAACCAACAATATAAATCATTTTTAGGTTCAGTTGCCAATTAGTATGAATTCTTCAAAAATTAAGAAATTGCTCATAATAGTTCTACAGATCTCATTAGAAATGTATACATCTACGTCTACAAAAAACTGTTCTAGCCTCCTTGAGCACTGCGTAGTTACACTTTTCTGCAGTTTCAGCAAAACATGTCTGCCCATCTTGGAACAAGCATTGGTCAGCATTTTAAACAAACTCAATCCTTTAGCTTCTAATAAAGTCCTAATACTTCTCAGAAGGGGTCCCCTTTTCCTAGGTTGTCCATATTTTTGAAGACTCTAGTATTTATAGATTCTCTGTTTCAAAAGCATTTCCATCATACCTGCCAGCAAGGTTCTCTTGTTTACTGCTGTGCTAATGGTTTAGGAATGTGTTTTCAGATTTTATCTTCAGGCTAATTTGAAGGTGCAAGCAATCCTTTATTAGTAATTTTTTATTATAGTAATATCTTGTGTGTTTTAACTTTACATAAGTCAAACAAACATTAAGCTCTTCCCCCTGATTTTTATTAAAATGCAAAATTGAAACAGTGTTTGTTCTGAATACAATATTATAGACCAGTTATAAGAGAATGGTTTAGTTAATCACAATTTCTCTTGTACATCCTCTAGCACATGCAACTCTCCTCTTTTTAAGGGGAGAGCTAAGTACAGTGGATCTAAGATTAATTTATTAAGCCTGTTTATTTTTGGAAGAAGTTCTCATTAAGTATATAAATTCTCATAACTTCTCTCTCAAATTTAATTTCTCCTATGAAACACCTTTCTGCTTCATACCTTTATACATCATAAAGTATTTTTGTATGGTATACATTGTGTGTTAAACTGAGAGGTAAATGCAGAACTTGGTCTGCTATATGTGCTTTTTTATTTTTAAGTTTTTTTCTTTAAAAGCATGTTTTTATAATCTGTAGGTGACTGTTGCACATATCAATGCCACAGCAAAGAATGCTGCTGACGACAAACTGAGACAGAGTCTTAGAAGGTTTGCTGATACTCACACTGCACCTGCCACTGTGGTTCTTGTCTCAAGTAAGTATGTCAGTTGTATTGTGAAAAATGTACGGTGTCTTTCTAGACTTTGGGGACAGAATTCAGGTCCTCTCTTGCATGTAAAAGTTTTCAAGTCAGACCTTCACAGGGAACGTTTGCTGTATGATATTTCCCAAAGGTTGTGTTTAGAATCAGCACTATCTAGCTGAAGTGATCAAATGAGAATTCATAACAGATCACAGTGATCCTTTTAAAACAATAATCAGTGAAAACTGGATATTGCTTATTAAACCATGATTTGTATATAGCTGACACATCACTGTGTGCGTCATTGAAAGGTCTTGTATGTATCTTCCAATAAGACTTAAGTGGGCACTGTGTATTGATTTCATTACTCTAAATAATACCCTTTGTGGAAAATTTTGGAATATGTCTTATACTCCAAAGTGTTTAATTTTTGCATTATTACAAGAGACTAATGCAGAATATATACATATCATTAATATTTAAATGCCACATTTCATTGGGCTTCACTTAATGCTATAATAACTCTAATTGAAGCAAAATCTTTATTACAGAAGTATCTATTATGAGTTAGAAAGCTTTTGTTAGAGTCTAAACTTTGCTGCTAATTGGGATATCCCTTTTTCTAAATGCTTAGAGCTGTTGTTATTCTTTTTGTGTGAAGCTGCTTTTTTGAGGTAAGCAGAACCTGTCAAAGTAATCTCTTATCAGTGACTTGACTGGATTTTTTTGTTTCAGCTGATGTAAATTTTGCTTTGGAACTTAGTGACTTGAGACATCGGCATGGTTTTCATATAATTTTGGTACATAAAAACCAAGCTTCAGAAGCACTGTTACATCATGCTCATCAGCTTATCCGTTTCGAAGAATTTATTTCAGACTTGCCACCAAGGTTACCATTGAAAATTCCTGTAAGTGACTCTTATTGTATATATTGTAGAAAATCTAAGTGTGTATGAGCCCTCTTATGTCTCTAATTTTGCAGAAGTTCATGTAACAATTGGGATATTTTCAGCAGCACTGCTATGTGTTTCAAGGGTACGCACCGAAGTGCTCAATCTATACAGACACTGTGGAGCCAGGTTGAAGCAGTGCAGTGCACTGCTTCTTCTAGTAAAGTGTGGTTGTTTTGTTTGCTTGTTTTTTAACATCTGCAAGCAGCTGCATTTCAGCTTAACCAGGAGCACTGCAAACGCCAGGACTGCTATTGTTTCTGTATTGATAATTTGCTTTTTTTAACCTCTTCAGTAGCAGTTCTTTAACTCTGAGCCCTGGTATCATTCCATTACAAAAATGTCCATTATTTCTTCCTGAGATGCAAATTATACCAACTTTGTCTGCGTGTATTTGTAGGTATGCTTATTCACAAACTGTCATAGTTGCAACTTTTTTGGGTTGCAAATTCAAAAGATGAGAAGTTCTAGGAAAATAGGATGATTCCTGCATCTCCTAAATGATTTGCACCTTTAATTAGTGTTCCCTCCCACCACCCGTTATAGTTTTGCCAAGTTTTAATTTTGGACCCCTGGAAAATGTCAGCAAAAAGATTGTTTAGTTATTTGTAATTATGGGAACTTATTTTATTACTTTTTTCTTTCAACAGGCATGCCATACACTGTTATATGTTTACAACTTGCCAACGAACAGAGACAGCAAAAGCGTCAGCAACAGACTCAGGCGTTTGTCTGACAACTGTGGAGGGAAAGTGCTAAGCATTTCTGGAAGCAGTGCAATTCTTCGCTTTTTAAACCAAGAAAATGCTGAGCGTGCTCAGAAGCGAATGGAAAACGAAGATGTGTTTGGCAATAGAATTATTGTGTCTTTTACCCCAAAAAACAAAGAACTCAGCGAAACAACGAAAAGTTCAAACTGTGTTGGAGTGGAAAAGATGAAGTCTCCAAAAAAAGTGAACAAGAACACAAAGCTGTGCCTCCTCAGCAAAGACTCAAGTGACCAGTCTTCTAGTGCCAAAACCACTGCAGGGAAAGGATTGCAGATGCATGGCACTGCCACAAAAGCTGCAAATGTTAAAAGTTTACAGGTAGTACCGTCATTCTCATTCCTGCTGTGTTCTTCTGATATAATCAGTAGTTTTCTGAATCTTAACCTCCACGTGTTGGGAGTGATTTTCCTCAATGGAGGAGCTGTCTAAGATCTTCTGAAGAGTAGCTTTTATCTTCTGCCTTCACACCACACTTTTTTTCAGGCCTAAGTGCTATCAATTTGTTGTTCAGGGCTCCAAATGCAGCTGTTATCATTTATCTTTGCTTTGAAAACCACTGATCTTGCCTACTGTATCTTGAAGGGGTGGAAGAGTAATTCAGTGTGCAAATAATCAGGTAATTCTAAAGATTGAAATGGACCTCTTCCCCATTTCATTGTAGTTACCACTAATTTCTACCATATTTCTAACAAAATGTTGCTGTTTGTTTTTAAATTGTCACTGGGTATAATTTTACTTCTAATTGCACTTAGAATTTATTTGTACAGCTGTTTTGAAGAAGGAAAGTCTTATGAAGGAGAAAATGTCACAATTTTTATGGGTTTTTTTCTTAACTGCTTTGTTTCCTTTGCTGTAAAGGAGCTGTGCCACCTTGAATCAAAAACTATCAGTAGAAATATTGAAAACCAGCAAGACCAGTTAAGAGGACAAATTCCTGCACAGAATAACTCTAAACCTGTGTGTCCAACAACCAAAAAAGTAGGAACAGGAGAATCTACCTGTAAAATCAACCAGAAGTATGTTGGGGGAAAAAACTAACACTACAATAAATTTAACTGAGTGAAAACCTGGAGCTCTGCAACATAATGCGTCTCTTTTTTTTTTCTTCTCTAACCCCTCCCTCCCACCTCCTGTCCCTCAGTAAAAAAGAGACTGTTGTTCCCAGAAGCATTAGCAACTCTCCTGTAGAAAGAAAAGATAAAGATGAAACAGTATTCCAAGTCAGTTACCCTTCTGCTTTCAGTAAGCTAACATCATCACGACAGCTGAGTCCTCTGTTTATGTCCCAGAGCTGCTGGTCATCTCGGTAAGTGTGCAAGTTTTTAATATCTGGAATATTTGGGCTGGATTTGCTAGGTGATTTGTGTTTGTTTAAAAAACAAAAGACAACCCCCCCCCCCCCACA